AACGGTCTTTGTTAGTTTTTCCAACAACCACTAACACTGGTTTGGTTGAACTAAACTCTGAAAGGGCTCCAATGGTCGCTACATAAGCTAATGCTAATCCTTGGGGACAAATGTGCCCGTCAAACTAATGGCAACATTATAGAAAGGATCCCTACAGAGATAGAACTTGATATTGATATTGCCACCAGACTCCATAGCTAACATTGTAACTTCATTCAAAGTGGACAGAGACAAAATAAAACTCAGTGATTCCACTGTTCTATCACCAGCTCTGGTTGGGTGAAATAAATCTCTATTTCGCTGATGTAGCTGATAAAAACAGCAGTTTCAGTCGCTCTGCTCAGCTGCACACGGAGCAGACCGGCTATGGAAACAAACCACAGAGAGGCTGTGATAGCAACACAGGCAGAGGGAGTGACACACTATGACTCCACTGTATCTTAACATAGCTAATTAATGTCCTAAATCCTATACATATATATAAGGTTGAGCTCATTTTAACTACTACTATGCATCATATTCTATAGGAATATGTCGCGGCTGTACTGTGAGAAACACAAATCTCTTTCATCAACTTTTTTGACGAGCTCAGAATAAACAGCCCTGTTTTCAGCTCTGTGACGATGCATTCTCCAAGAGGCTTTTACAATAGTTTATTTAGCTTAAGAAGTAGGAGAATAGAAGAAGAACCTTATTTCTCAGATTTGGCCATTATTCCTAACAGTAGTTTTAGACCTGTGTGATGTATTACGTCTGGTCTTAAAATGTCTGCAGTAACTGTAAAAAGCATGTGTTTCTTGTTTGTGTGTGTGTGTGTGTGTTTATGCAGGACGGCGTGGGTTCAAAAAATTAAAGCAGCTTCAGAACTCTTCATTGAGACAGAGAAGAAGAAGAGAGAGAAGGCGTATCTAGGTATTCCTTTTCTTTCCTCCATTCTCATTGTTCTGTTAAAGGCTGTAGAAAAAACATTTCAATAGTCAAACTGATTTGCCACTTTCAAACTGTATGATACTCAGCAGCAACTCATTTGTCCGTCTCTTTGTCTCAGTGCGCTCTCAGAGGGCTACAGGGATCGGTAGACTGATGGTCAACATTGTCGAGGGAATTGAGCTCAAACCTTGTCGCTCCCATGGTACGAACACACTCCTCATACTCAAACTTTAAAAAGACAGTTATTTGTTCACGTACAGTCTCTATCTTTACTAAAAAACATATGAAATGAATTTAAGTTTTTATTTATTTTTCCTGCTAAACTAAAAATGTCTTATTAACACTGTTAGCCCCTTATGGTCAAATGAATGCCTATTCAGTATAATGTTGAACACTAATAATGCTAACAGTCACTTTAACCATTAAACTAAAAATATAAATGCACTATATTTGGACTTGTAGTGTGACATAGATTCTACTGAGGAAACCTAAAGGTGTCAAATCCTATATTTGGTCCAAGCTAAAATAATAATGTGTCTGTATGAGGCACAACAAGTTGTTTCTCCTCATTCAGAGAACAGGGGTTATATTAGTAGTGTTGTCGTCAGAAGATAATACCTGTTTGTCTGTATTTCCAGGAAAAAGTAACCCCTACTGTGAGGTAACCATGGGTTCGCAGTGCCATATCACAAAAACATTACAGGTATGTTCTGTTTTGGACAGGAAACCTTGAATTGTACTTTTTGAGTCTGTCATCATACATATGTTCTTGTGTTAGGAATATCAAATAAATAAATAAAGCCTTGTTTAAATGCAGTCTTCTCCTTCACATCTTTCCTTCACCTGACCTGATAAAGACAGAGACAGTGTTGAGGAAAGGACATATTGTTTTGACTGTTCAACTTCAGCCATCGTTTTTATTCTTTAGTTCTGTATTGATCCATCTAGTGCACATACTGAAGTTATCTCTTTTTGTGCATCAGAGCATTCATTTTGCTGCTTTTCTCTTCCCGTTCCCCTTTTTTTGTAGGACACGTTGAATCCGAAGTGGAACTCCAATTGTCAGTTTTTTATAAAGGACCTGGAACAGGACGTCCTCTGTGTCACTGTGTTTGAACGAGACCAGTTCTCACCTGACGGTCAGTAATAATCAAAGACTTTCTCTCAGATCGTCTGTTTGTTCTCCAGATGGGATACATTCATTTATTTTACATTTTCTTCACAGACTTCCTGGGCAGGACAGAGATCCGGTTGGCTGAAATAAAGAAGGACCAGGGCTCTAAAGGACCAATCACGAAGCGGTTGCTGCTCCACGAGGTTCCCACAGGAGAGATCGTGGTCAGGCTGGACCTCCAGCTGTTTGAGGAACCATAATACCCGAACAGGACCTCAGTGGACTGAAAAGGAACTAAGAGATATGGTTTGGACCCGACAGTCGGACTAAATTAGACTGGACTGGATTTTCTTGGTTTGTCCTATTTCAGTTCCTTACTGCTTACAGGCTGTTTATGTTTAAGGAGGGCGGTACTCACAGCTGAGGGAAAGTGTCAGTTTACAACATTTGCTTGTTAAATTAAATGAAAAAAAGTGAATATTTAGTGGTTAGAGAAGCCCTGGATTCACTGTGTCAGTGGCTTTTTGCAGGAGGAGCAGCAAGAGGAGGAAAAGGGTTACAAACAGTTGTAACCAGTCAGCACAGAGTGAATCCATTTGAGCAGTTTTAATTATTTTCCACTACATTTGTTTGAGTGGAAACTGTAAATAAAGAGCTTATTATCTCAGTTTCAGACCACATATCAGTTTTCTTAGATTAATATTCAACCTTAAACCGGATGTCTGCAGGTTCTGATAAATCACTGAACCTCTAACTCTTTAAAGTACTTTCCAAGCTACAAATGTCTTACATAAATCTTAGTACTTTGTTTTACTGGTCTTAAAAAGCAGATCTGTGGTGGGAGATTTTAAAGACAAACACCCCCTTTAACCAGCAGCTCTTACAGTGGACCTGATGCTGTATTACCAAGGAATGAAAATCCATGGCCTGTTTCTATTCCAGTCCAGTCCAGTCTACTTCTGTCCTCCTTCAGTCTGGTCTAGTTTGTTTTTTTCGTCCAATCTGGTTCAGTCCAGTCCTCTTGGAGTTCAGCCGGGTCTTTACTGTTTTCTTTTCCTCTGCTTCATCAAACAGTCTCACAGACACTCCAGTGACAATCCCAGCCCTCCTTAATCCAAACCAACCCCTGTGTGTGTGTGTGTGTGTGTGGGGGAGAGAGAGTGGGTGAGTGAATGACTGTATGAGTGTCAAAGTGGACAGGCTACTGAAAGGTACGGTTCAGTGTACATTTTTTTCTCTTTTTTAAGTCTTACAACTCTCGGAGTCTTAAGATGAAGTGTTCGGGCTTTCAGCGTTTGTGGTACTGCTTGTGAAGGGATCTCGCCGTTTTGAATTTTTGCTCTTTTGACCTTCACTGAACACTTGCCACATTATCTCAGAAAGAGCTAAATATGTACAGGTTAAATGAGAAATGCTAACGATGCTAATACGCTGAAAATATAGAAAGATTTCCAGTGTAAATAAACTACAGACATGCCAAGATGTCCCTTTCACATGCATCCATTATAATAATAGTGAGACTAATATGGCTGAAACTAGGGCAGCCGGGGAAGAGGTGTGACAGCTAATTTAAATTGAGGTACTGTAAAGAGGAATGTCTTAATTTAAAAAAAAAAAAAAAAAAAAAAAAAAAAAAAGTATGTTGGATGCACACAGGGGTCATAGTTTTAGGTGATTTTTGTCACACATCTAACCTCTGTTGTTATGTTGCTGCTGTGCGGAGCTGTCACAGTGGCCGTCACTATGCAGGGGAGGAAAACCCTGAAAGAATCGGGGGGCCCAGAGCTGGATAGGGGCCCTCGTACATGCTAGGTACTACAGAAATGCATTTAATAGGAACAGCCTTTTAGATCATTTCCACTCTCTAACCCTGAGGAGGCTCCGTGTAAAAGTCATTTTACTGTGCGTCGGCACTCCCAGCACTTTTAAAAACACACACACTGTCGCTGATATTAGAGCTGAGCAGGACACGACTGATGTCACATAGTGGCCATTTTGAATAGTCATAGTCAAAGTAGGAAACTTGAAGGCTGGTGTTATTGTTTATTTTTGTCACTGTCAGCACAAAAGACTAAAACCAACGTGTGATCTCTCAGTGCTTTCCAGCTTCTTTTCTGTGGCACTGAACTCCAAGCTCACTGGTGTGTAAATCTTTAAAAATGCTTCAGTAAATGAGTCAGTCATTTTCTAAAACACTTGGGCACTGTCATTTTAAGCACACGTTGAATAGTGCATTTGTTGGGGATTAATCCACATTGGTGTTCTAGTGGGTAATGGGTGTTCCTGGTAATGGCTTCTGTGTTTTTAATAGGTTTTGGACAACAATGGAAGTCTGTCTGTGATACAATACTGTTAGTAGGATCAATTCATAGTTGGTTTTAGTCTTTTTGTGGGATTTGTTGTCAACAAGAAACTACAGAATATCATCAGCCCTATCCTTTAAAGCTAGTTTTTGCTTTAGCACATAAAGCTCAACAGCTGTCATATTATCTATCACTTTTGAGAACATCAGCTACAGTGACTGCTTAAAGTTAGCAAGGAAATTGGCTAGCTAGTTAGCTATAGCCTGCTATAGGCTGGACTGTGGCAGCTTACTATAGGTCCAAATATTTGACTTCATTGAAATGTGAGCTAATTCCTCCAGCAGTTTTTGAGATATACTTTAAGAACGGGGAGTATTTAAATAATAAATGTTTGTATAGCTGTCACAGCTGCCGTGTACTTCTGGTGCCTGTACGTGGTTGCGTTAGCTTGTTCACGCGTAGGTGCCAAAATTACCGTTTTTTTAAATAGTGGAGCGTAATTGTGTGTTATTATCTTGTCCTTTGCATAAAAAAACAACAGTTCACTACTTTTGAAAGGAAAAAAGTTTTGTTTGTTTTCAGTTTATTGTGAAAAATGTAACCACTTTTTGAAGCATATCATTTGATCGATTTCCTTTGTCGAAAACACAAACTCAGGAGTTACTTTAAAGGCAGCGTTGATCTTCTTTCCCGCCCTGAGTATTCAAAATGGCCGCTGCGTGAGCCAGTCGGACAGTTTGTCCGCTCAGCAGAGTTGTAGATATGCTAGTTAGCTAGCCACTCGGCCAGTCAGTAAATGTAGTTAGCAATCTTAATTTAAAGCCACGGTTACTGAATTACCACTGAGACAACCAATAGTAACCTTAGTGACCAGCCACTGTCCAATCAGAAGTCAGCGAGGCTCAGCCAGTTGCAGCAGCGTGACCGTGGAGGACGGTGTGAGCGAATGTTTGTGTTTCCCCAGACTGAAGCTGATTAAGGTGATGATGATGATGATGAATGATGATAACCCCCCACCCCCTCTCCACGCTGTACTGAAACTAACCTAATCCAGTTTGAACCCGTTCTTACTGTCTACCTTCCAGGTTGTGTATAATACTACTGCTATCTGAGAGTTAATATATGAGCGCTACGGGGGCGATAGAGACAGCCTGCTGTTAATTATCACTGTAGAAGATGATGTACGTTGTTGTCTTTCAATGTTCAGAATAAACTTCAGTTGGACCAAGACTGCAGCTGTCTGTTGTTGGTTTCCTTGCTCCATGCTCACACACACACACACACACACACACAGAGAACTTACATCAGTGAGTAGGACCCCCAGAGAAGTTGCAGTGAGATGATTGAAGGAATAAGAGAAAACAAACTTTTTTTTTTTCACAAAGTTATGTTTACTGGTATTTTGACTGGCTTTTTTCCGATTGTTGGGTTCCTGGACATGTCAAAGTTAGTAAAAAACGCAAAAAGGTTGGGAACCACAGATCCACATGAAAAACCATTCAGACTATCTGATGTGTTTATTTTTTGGTTTTACTTGATAAAGGATGCAGTTGCAAATTAAAGGTCATCCGAATAACCATGTTACCTTTTCCTATTTATTAACCCTACCAAAATAATATGACAATATGCTCAAAATCAAATACATCTGTAGATTATTAAGAGGAAAACAATGTTGAAAATGTTCTCATTGCAGCTAAGTGTTACCAGTCCTTCGTCAGCCCTTGACTGACATGGCATATGAACCCTGAAGCCCACATGACTAAAAAGGAGACTCACAGCTGCGTTGTCACAGGGGTCAGTAGGACTACTAACTGACCTATGCCCACTGCAGCCTGTGCTCTCCCAACCCTTTAAATTCAATCTGGAAATAGTCCTTCCTGCCAGGATGACACTCACAACACATTATGTGTGCAGGGGGGTTTAAACTCAGTGTTGTGCTGGCAGTGAAAGGGGGCGTAGTCTTCACTTCACAAAATCCGTCAAATCAGACAGATTGAGCCACAAAGGCCGGAAGTCAGTCAGCGTTTCCTTCAAAATAAAAGCATCTAGGCTGGAGTCAGTTAACTTACAGTGTACTGATATACAGTGGTGGAAAGTAAGTATGCATTTACTCGAATACTTTACTTAAGTTGAGTTATTTCACTTGAGTATTTCCATTTTATGCTACTTTATACTTCTACATTTCAGAGAGAAATATGGTACTTTTCACTTTCACTTTTACTTTTTTAAGATTTTACATACAAAATATAAAAAGTGTTAAACTACCAAAAGTATATGAAATATATTTCTGTCTAAAATTTGCTCCACCTTGACTTAACATTAAAGCAAAGCTTACATATTAACACATCAATAAAAAAGATCCCATAATATAATAGTTATATTATATATTATATAATATAAACGCTGACAGTACCCTGCATCATGAGTACTTTACTTTTGATAGTATAGTAAGTAAGTATATTTAAGTAAGTATAAGTATATTTTTTTGCTAATACTGCTTATATATATATATATATATATATACATTTTATTTTATATAGATATATATATATATTTATAACCCTAACCCTATTTAAACAAAATCATTCATTTGTGAAGACACCTATGGAGAGACTGAGTAAACTGTTATTTGATACAAATGAGTATTAAGTCTCTTGAGACTACTGTGCTCCAGTATCTGAGCAGTGGTGGAAGAGGTACTCAGATCTTCTACTTAAGATACCACAGTGTAGAAATACTCTGTTACAAGTCCTGCATTCAAACGTATACTTAGGTAAAAGTACAAAAGTATTTGCATTAAAATAAACTAAAGGTACCAAAAGTAATGTTTCAGCTGGTAAAACTGGAGCTAAATTAAATTTCAATTCTAATACTGCAGCGTAGCCTGTGAATTTCCTACTTGGGATTAATAGTCTTGTTTAACCTATAGCCTAATAATGCATATGTAACATAAAGTAACTAGAAATACTCAAGAACTGTACAAGTAGACCATCCTAAAAAAACATTTAAGCAAGGGACATTATTTTCCATAATTTATCAGTTTATTTATTCACTTTATCAGAGAAATACAGTTGAGTAGTAACCAGAAAGTATTTAAAGTATTACATTATTTCCACTCACTGACATTTCTATTTTCAAAAGACGGGTTAGTCGTTGAGGCTTTTATTTCGATAATCCCGACCGGACTGTCGGTGTTGACATCGGTATTTAGAGGCTTTAGGTAGAGAGCTTTATGTAACTGTAATGCTGATAGAAACACACAGCACAGACCGAGCTGCTGAACAAAAACACGTTAACCAGCTAGAAAACAAACAAACAACAACAACAACAAACGGTTAGCAGTTCATCGGTTCAGGCCGCCACAGGAAGAGGGTCTTCATTATCGCCGCGGTTAGATGAAGTTAAATAAATGACTGATTGCGATTTGTTATTTGGCGTTTTATCAGCTGTGGAAATGTCCCAGCCACAGTGACAGTGTCCCGCTGGAGGAGAGACACACTGAACATTCAGTACTTTCCCACAGCGACCTGACGCTCCTGAACGTTACACTGAACCAAACTAATACAAACTGATACCTTTTCTATTTAACAATCATGGCTGCTGCTTTGTTCAGAGGGGGAACAGGAGTATGTGTCAGAGTAAGTAAATGTCTTGTTTCTCTATCTGTACTGAACAGTATTCAACTGTGAATAATAATCAATAATATATTCAGTAGTGATTACTCGAGTAATCGAGTACTGCACCTTAAGATCATACTTTTTATGTGGCAGTGGAATAAAAGCTTTCAGTGTATTGGATTCTTGTAAATGTAAGTTTGGCATACAGTATTTGTGCATCCTATAACTGTGTGTCTGTGTCTGTGTGTGCGTGTCTGTGTCTCCAGTGCATTCACAGGGAGTTGTGCAGAGTCGTATGGAGGCCACAAACTGCACTGTTCAGCTCCAAACCACCAGACAGAAATCAACCACGCAGGACACACATCAGTAAGACAAACACATTATCTGTCTGTCTGTCTGTCTGGTTTTCAGTCAGGTTTCTACTTGCAATCCGCACTTATCACTGTATTCTGTTCAGATGTTATTCTTTCTACACCAGTGGAAAGGTAAGACCCTTATACCACGCTGCCACAGGGCTCCAAATTAACCTTTTTCCTCTGTGTCCCACAACTCTCACGGATTCTACTTTCAGCTGTCTCAGACTTAACAACCACCGTCCCAAAGGTCTTTTTTTAATTCTGTAAAATGAATATAGTTTAATAACTTTGTTTCAGTAACATGCATCAGCTCCTCGACTCACTCTGGGTGGGAAATCACCCTGGGTGCAAAAAGCCCTGAGAGGCTGTGGTTTACAGTGATTTTAGAACAGCTAAGGAGCATTGTTAGGCGTCTTCTAGGCGCTGGTTGTGTTGCTCTTTCTTGTTTATTTCTGTTCAATCAATAAATGCAAATACCCATATAATCACAAATTAATTACAAGGGACATTGTATATTCGAAGTAATAAGGAAAAGAAAATAATATAAAAATCATATAAGCTATAGGAACACCCTAATCCAGAGATCCAGAGAGAAAGAGAGACACATCACACCTACTGGCTGCCTGTGCACGGTGCAAGAGGAGAGGGAGAGACCCCGGCGCTGATAGCAAAAGAGCTGTGGACTGAAGCATGCATGGGAATTGAAATTATATTATATTATATTACATATTAAAGTAATAATTTCATTGAATTTCTCTACTGTGCTCCAGAATTGTCCCACACACTGTGTCTTTGTGTCCCAGGTGCTATTTGTATTGCCCCCCGGACTACAGGGCTTTAATTTCGAGCACAGTGCTACCACGTTGGATAGGTGACAGGAATTAATTCTTGACAAGCACAAAGATTTGTGGGCAGTATGGATAAAATCCTCTGTCATGATATACTGTATGTAATTTAGTATTGCTATATCGACATATATATGTATGTAGAAATCATGTAAAAGGAACTGAGAAACTGTTAGTGGATAAATGAACGGACAACAATGTCTTTCAGCAAATTAAATACATGAAAAATCAACGTACTTGATGCAAAAATGATATGACATCTCAATACTGCCGTAAAGCTATATTGAAATTTGCAGACTTTCCAGACAGGCCTCTACAGAAGTAATTTTCTTCTGAGTCTCTGTTGTTGTTTTTTTTGCTGACAGAGAAAGCCAAGCCCCAGCCAGCGGTGGATGTCGCTAAACTCTTGGAGCAACTCTTTTCCCAGCGCAGGCCGGGCACAGCGCCTCCTGCTGCTAAAGGTCAGCACATTCAGGATGTTGTGTAGAGCAAAGTGAAGTCTCTGTCATTTACAAGTCAAATTTACCAGCTCCTTCTTCATCACACAACATGACACATGGTACTTTTTCATGTATCATTTGAGACTTTTTGGACATCCCGGTGCTAATATGGAATCATGCAGAAGACTATGTTAGACCAGGTTATGTACATCTCGTGGAATGACATAGAAAGCACATGTAACTGCAAATGACCACTGATTAGAGAACATGCCATGTTTCTGCCATTCTGTGCTGAGTGGTTTTACTTATCTACCCCTCCCCTCTCCATGTCCTTTACATCCTCTTTTTCACTCCTCTTCCTCTCCCCTTCCTCCTACAGCTCGACCAGCCAAAGCCTCCTCTGTACCTACAAAACCTCCTACCACCTCCTCAATCAAAGTCTCCACCTCAAATATTCCTTCACTGTCTGTCGTTCCTGCTGCTTCTAGTTTCCAGCAAATTGACAGTGTTCCTAAGACTACAAATACTTTTAACACTGCACCGCTATCCCCTCAACCAATAGCAGCATCTTCGACAAACCCAAAGACTTCATATTCCTCAGACATGCCTCCGCAGTCTCCTCTTGATTTTATTCAGGGATTTGCTGCTGATAGTGTTTCCAACGTGACTTTTTCTTTAGCCAGCACAGCACCTGCATCATTAGAACCAGAAGCAGCTGCAATAGGATGGCAAACCTCGGCTGAAACAATAGAAAATGTCGAAACAGCTACAGAGCCAGTTGAACTCAAAACTGTCACAGTACTGCCCTTATCAGCCCACACGGTGGAGGAGAATGTAGAGACCTCATCTTTTTCAGCTGTTACAGTAGAAACCTTAATAGAAACTACAACAGAATCAACAGTGGAGCTTGGCCTGTCTCCTGTGGAAACGCTAGACGCTGCTGTTGTTGAAAGTCCAGTAGAGCCTACAGTAGATGTTCCAGTTGAAGTACAAACCAAATGCACAGACTCAGGTATGATTGATGTCTCATACACTGCCAAATTAGAACCATTCATAGGAACTACAATAGAATCACCAGCAGATCCCAGCCAAGTTCCTGTAGAAACACTAGAAACAAGAGCTGCTGTTGTTGATGGTCCAGTAGAATCTACAATAGATGTTACACTAGATATAACAGCTGAAACCAAAAGCACAAACTCAGGAGTGGTTGATATTACACACAATATAACAGTAGAACCCTTATTAGAAATTACAGCTGAACCATCAGTAGACGCCAGCACCTCCCCTCTGGAAACACTAGAAACCAGAGCTGCTGTTGTTGAATGTCCAGTAGATGCTCCAGCACAAGCAGTACAAACCAACAGCACAGACTCAGGTCATGTTAACTTCTCACACATTGCTGATGAGGAACCCTTAAAAGAAGCAACAATAGACCCATCAGTAGAGGCCAGCACCCCTCCTCTGGAAACACTGGAGAGTAGAGCTGCTGTTGCTGAAGGTTCAGTTGAAACTCTAACAGAAACTGAAGCAGATACAGCAGCTCAAGCAGTACAAACCAGCACCAAAGGCAGGGTTAGCGTCTCATACAGTGCCAAAGAAGAACCTTTAATAGAAACAGTAGAACCAGCAGTAGAGGCCAGCACCTCTCCTCTAGAGAGTAGAGCTGCTGTTTCTGAAGGTACAATAGAGCCTACAGTAGAAACTGAAGCAGCTGTCAGCCCCTCACACAGTGCCTTAATCCAAAATGCACAAGAATCTGCACCCTTGCCTTTGAGAAACAAAGCAGAATCTACAGTAGAATCGTCCTTAGGAAACTTCACTGTGGAGGAGGGAGTGAAGTCTGAACAAATGACTTTAGAGTCTGTAACTCTCCATGCAGTTACGGTTCAGGTAGAGTCCTTGAAAACTGATGAACTCCTCCAAACAAAATCTGCTCTTGATGAAAAAGCAGAAAAACAACTCCAGGAGTTGTTAGTCCAGACGGGGACTGGAGCCGAGTACAAAGCTGCAGCCGAAACTGAGAATGCAAGTGAAGATGAGGCCGAAATTTTAACTAAAGCTCTTTCAAAATGGAACTCTCTATCTGAAGATCTTCAAGAGTTAGAAGGAGAAAGTGGCACGTTAGTGAAGGAGCTCCTCTGTCACGTACCTGCGGTGCTTTCCAAAACTCCTGACATGGAGAAAACAATTTCAGCCTCTGGTCCACCTGTAGGAGCAAATGGAGAGTGTTTGCAGGTGGAGGAGAAGGGAAGCGAAGCAGAAGCCATGACGCTGGAATCAGTCATTTTTTTGAAAGTGAAGGCTGAAGTTGGAGGTCTTGAAACCGAAGTTCTGCTAGAAACAAGGAATGCACTTGAGAAAGAAGCTGAGGTACTAGCAAAAGAGGAGAGGATGGAGATTCGGAAAACGATGGAAGATGTCTTTGAGGACACAACAGAGGCTGAAATTTTAACACTAGATTCGATATCTGAAACCACAGATGCAATAGAGGCTGAGACATCCGTTATGCTGGAGACCATGTTCGGTTCTGAGCAAGGTCCGACGCAGCCATCTGTCAATTTACCCGTTGATCAGCAACTGGGGCAACAGGATGAAACGAGTGATCAGGAAAAGAGGTCTGGAGAGCAGGAAGAGAGTGCCTTGGAGGCCATGACTCTTGAGTATGTGATTCTGGCTGACATTGAGGTCTCCTTGGAAACTCTGGAGAATGAGTCTCTGAGTGAAGCCTCGGATTATCTGGAGAAAGAAGCTGAAATTCTTGCTGGAGAGAAGAGGATGGAGGTAGAGGATGTGGTGGCGTCTGAAGAGACGACTGAGGCTCTGTCTTTCCCCGAAGATGACGCTCCGTCTACAGCGCTGCAGGCAGACACACTGATGGAGGAGCCGCTCTTTTCTGTTTCTGAGCACATAACAGGGGTAACGGAAGGCCAGATTGGCCAGGAGGTTGTAAGAGAGAATATTTTGGATGGTAAGTTTGACTTTTGTTAGTGGTGAAGAGGCATTAGGAGAAGCAAAGGCGGAGAGGTCATAGTAGATAAATCTCTAACTTTAAAGTCATGCTTATTTAAAGGAAAAGTTTGACATTTTGAAGTACTTTGTTTTGCTTTCTTACTGAGAGTTCAGAGAATTGATACCACTCATGAGACTCTGTGTTAAAGCAGCTGAAAGAAACTTTAATCTTGTATTGATTCTGGCGGTCCCTGTAGACAAAACAGGAGTATTTGTACCCCATCTTTTCGTCAGATTTTGAGGGAAATCCGACTGAATCCGAAGCCAGTAGAGGCTATGTAGACTATACAGAATGAACCAATCTTCCAGCTGATATCTAGCCTGTCTGTTTATGAAGGGCATATAGAGGAATCAGTATTAAATTGTATTAAAGTATTAAATTGAGACTGTTTAATAACCAGTTAAAAACATTTAGTTTGTTTTCAAGAAGAGTTTAACCAGTACCAACATTGGTGAAGTGGTAGACACTTCAGAAAGTGGAATTTGTTCTTGTCCAGACACTCATCTGTCCTGGTACTGTTTTGTTTTTTTACCACAGCAGCAGTTGCCACCGGGTCAGTTGATATTGATTTAGCGGCTACAGTGACAGAGGACCTTCCAGCTTCCGACGCTCTGAAGGAGGTGCTGCTGGGAGAGGAGGTGGAGGAGGAGGGAGTACAGACTGAAGCCTTGGGGATTGCGGATGGCACACAAACAGGTAAATAAACTTAAATAGACATATGCAGACACATGCACAGTGGTAGGTTGTATCAGGCAGTTCTGCAGCACATGAATTACAGCCGTATTGCAGGAAGCAGCGTGATGTCCAGGTAGGGAGGAGAACAGTAAGGTTTGGATGGGTGTGTAGCACATCCCACTTTCACACAAGAACCCATTTGCTTCCCATTTCAGACCAACTTAATGTTGGCTTTTTTAAACCATGACTACAATCTTTCCCTAAATGGTTGAGCATGCTTGGAACGAACTACTTCGACCACATCTAAAGGAAAAAGTGATTATACCTGTTCTGAATGGCTACACTTTAAAGGCGGGGTGAAAAGCCTGATGTCACAGCCTCCATCTGCCTGCATCACACTGCCTCTCTGATCCCTCTCTTTTTGATTAGTGTCTCAATAACATTCAAAAACAACTAATATCAGCATTGTCTGGTGATGAGGATTGGCTTTAATAGTATGGATTTGATGTGTTTCAGCTTTAGATCCAGTACAGAGACTCTTTCTGGAGAAGATCAGAGAATACAACAACATGAGCAGGTAAAGAGACAATAGAGGTTTCCTGTTATATTCATTAGGAAAACTCCATTGGAGGCTGCTGGATTGGCCCTGAACAATCACGACACAGGCTGCTCAGTTCCATATAGTTTGGCTTGTTGAAGGAATAGTTCAACAATTAACACACAGATAAGAGGGGTATCTAGTTTAATATCTAACTTTCAAAAATACCATCAGTTTCCAAAAATGTTGAACTATTTCTTTAAGGGCCTTACTAAGTAGAAGTAAGTACTTATGTATACAGTAACGGCTGGAGGCCCAGCTGCAGGGTGGCCCTTTGATAACAACACAAGAAAAATGCAGAGTTTAAGATGAGATACTAGTGGGAACTGTGATGTTGAGATGGTTGATATGTAACTGTTTCAGCTTTCATTTCCCTCGTCTTCTATCTCCTCACTTGTCCTTCTCTAAGGTTGAATGGAGGGCCGTTGGAGGCGGAGCCAGACTACGAAAAATATCTGTCAGAGGAGACCGCTAAGCTCCAGAGACTTTATGGGGGAGGAGACCTGAGCAGCTTCCCTGAGTTCACCTTCACCGGTCAGAGAGAGGTTCACTCACAGAGAACTTAATACACAACATTATATTCAGAGCTATATCAGTGGAAGGTTCTGGAAGTAAACAGCCCTTTAATTTGTTTCCCTCTTTAATGTGTTTAAAGCCTTTAACTTAACCAACAGCTAGTATTTTGGTGATGATAATTATCAGTCATCATCTATAACATGTAGTGCCCAGTCTTATCACAGATGTATTATTATTGGTGTATTTTAGCCAATAAGTAACAGACGCTGCAGTGTCCAGAGAGCACTGACAAGTTTATTTTTCAGCTGTAAAATGTCCTGCTCAGTACATATCTTTGTAACAATTCTCTGATGTTCAGATGTTCAAATGTATGGAATACTTTTGTAAACTCTAAACTTTGGAGTGGTTAAGATCTCCAAGGCAACACAACAAACCTGACTGATGAACTTGCCTCTGGATGAGTGCATTGTGTAGTTTTTCAGTAGGGACATATTGTTTAATCTACCTTGTGTTGGTCATACATTGTGGCTGATAATCTAATTCCTTATGGAGATTATGAATTATACTTTTACCTCTGGGACATGATGTTTCAGCTCTGTTGCACTACGGCTGATTAACAGGCACCGCACAGACTCATTTTAATATATACAGTGACAGAATAAAACTAAATACGTTCCCAAATACACAAGAAACGACTTCTGCTGTTTTCTCCTCAGAGCCCAAAATGGACCAGGACTCCAAATGATCCATGACGCCTACCTCCCACTCTTCTTCCTTAACCTCTTCTCCTTAGGCCTGTCCTCTCTGACTTCCTCCTCCATTACCTCCGCATTTCTCTACATGGGAGAACAGAGAGAGGGGGAGGAGGAAAAGAAGAAGAAGAAGAAGAAGAGGCATAAGCGGTTTGTTTGGGTGATCTGTCTTTAAAGTAAGAGAAAATGTATTCAACAAATACATGCAACAAATTCATTTTATTAAAGCAGCGGCATCAAAAGAGCAAGTCTGTGTTCTCTGGTGTTCAGGGTGTGTGTTGGTGTGAAATGCAATTAGAGCTTCACTAGAGCAGTGAATGCCTGAATGGACAGCAGGTGGTGCTGTCAATTCAGCATCTCTATATTTGGCTCCATTTATCTCCGTCTACCTCTCTGTTTCTATGGCTCACACTCTCCCTCTTTCTGTTCTTTCTTCCTCTTACTGGCCTTTGCAGCCCATATTTGTCTGTATGCACTCAGTGTACTCTCTCCATCACTGCCGGCTGTGCTGTGCAGTGACAGAGGCAGTCTTTGCCAAGTCAAATCCCCCTCAGTCACGACTCAGTGATAGAGATGGTCTGAGTCACAACCACAGACACGCTGAAGGAAAAAAATAGCGCAGTACCAAACTACAGTACAGTACCACATTTTTGGGGTTTGTTTTTTATTCTAAGCAAAGAAAAGACACATCTGAGTCGTAAATTGATGTAAAACGTTTTCTAAATGAATTCGGCTATGTAAAGTGGAGTGACAGAATTTAATAAGAACCAAATAGGAGCCAGTTGTCATTCACATTCATTCATTTCCAGCTGTGTTGATCGGGACGCACTGAGTGGCCCTGTGGTGACGTCACCCGGTTTAGGCGGTCACTCAGATTGCCTGCGCAGAACACCGGCGTGCGTGCGTGCGTCCCGACCTGAGTGTAGCTACACGCGACCCCTCGGTTGTCCTCGGCTCGTGACACCTCATTTGAAATCTCAGTTAGCTAACCGTTAACGACCAACGGCCATTTAACGGTCGCTGCTAAAGCAACTCCGGCTGTTTCTTGTGTGTGTGGTCGCACGCGCTCTCTCTATCTCCCTCTTCCCATCTCACACACACTCTCTCTCTTTCTCTTTCTCTCTCTCTCACACACACACACACACACACACCTCCCCCCTTTTG